GATGGATGGATTCAGCTGAATCTGTGAGGCTGCCAGGCTGTGCTGCATCCCTATGAAAGAATCACAGCAGTTCAGATTCCTTCTGCTGAGGGATGCAAATGTGGTGTAACGTGGCGTACGTATTTGAGTTGTGCAGATCACAAAGGTATTATAAAATACAGCATTTGGCTGCTTGAAAAGAGCTGTTTCATATCAAAATTGGAGTTTGGGACTGTGGTGGCTTGTTAAGGCTGCATCATCAGCTGGGCATGACCTGTACACCATCTGTGAAAGGTAGAACCAGGAGCAGAGGGTTTGCAGGGATAAATGAGGTGAATGGAGAGTGGTTTGTGATCTTCTTTTCACCCTCTTTTCCAGTTTTCTGGGGAGCATGCAGGGAATGCTTTGTGTTGTTGGAACAAAAAGCTGGTGGGAAGGACAAAACGATCCCGCTTAGTCACTTTAGCCAAAATCATGGGATTGCTGCCACCCTCCTGCGGGGCAGGTGGAAGAGCTGGAAGCACTGTGTCAGCAGACAGGTGCCCTGCAGCTGTCACCTCCTGAGGTGCTTCTCTGCTCTCTGTTCATCTGCAGGGAGAAGGCTGGGTGTCCCGGAGCAGCACTGGCTCCAGGCCCCACGGGTGTCTGTTCTGTGAGTGGGGGATTGTGTTCCTTTGGTGGTTCTGCCTGCAGCGTGTTGATCCCTCTGTGGGGCTGCTCACACCCACGGCAGTTCTGGTCCTGGTGACATCAATGCCTTTTGCTGGCCTTAGGGCACACCTTTGATTGTGGGGCAAAGTTCCTGCAGCTTCCCAAGGGAGAAATGAATGACAGAGAAACCAAGCTCATTGTGGTGCCAGCTGAGTTTAGTCTGCTTCTCAGCTCAGGTGGTAATGCAGAACCCATTGGGAAGTGTCTCTGAGAAGGAGCTTGTGTTTAACATGTAAAACCTTGGAGATAAATAAAGCTGCGTGCAATGACATGGATGCTGGGATTTCTCTGCTGCTGGCCTGCAGCTTGGAGCTGGTGACTCTGTGTGCTGAGTGCCCAGGGCCTCCTGGCATCCTTCACTTTAACTACAGTTGCTCTCAGAAGACGAATAGAGCCTGGCTGCGTGGTGCAGAGGGGAGAGGAAGTGAATGGAATTAAATGGGCTGCGTGGCCGTCTTCCAACCTGTCGTGTAACTGCTGAGAGATGCCTTGTACTCAGGAGCAGGAACAACCTAAAGTTCTTTACCTGGTTTGTGGTTTTGGTAGCAAAGGATCTCTGGGACAGAGACAGTGCACAGATCCACTGGATCAAAGGGAACAGGCCCTTCACTGATGGCTGCCTCCCCTTCTGGTGCTAAAAATAGTTGATGAGCCAGTACAAGGATGGTTGTGGCTGTCTGCATTCCTGTAGGAAAGTGCAGGCTTGGTGAGTTCCCAGACTGTGTTTTTGCATCTTCTCCTCTGCTGACAAACAGATTTCAGTGAAATGCTGCTATTTCTGTACCTATTACAACTGGCTTTGGAGCATCCTGGGGCTTCACTCCGGTTGTACTGAGTGTGCAAGGGAGGAGAAGCTGCCTGGGGAAGATGCAGAAGGGTTGTGTGCTGCCAGCCTAATGGCCAGGGAGCTTTGGTGATTGCAGCAGCCTGGTTTTCCAAATCTTCTGGACCTATATTCTTCAGCTATAATCATTTCCCCATCCTTTTCCTAGCCAGGAGTCATAGCCCTCTGGAGGCAGATGTGTTCCCATTGGGATGCTGTTGTCAGCCTGTGATGAGCCCGTTGCTGTGCTTCTTACTCTTGTCATGACAGACTGTCGAAGAAATTGGTGACTAAGTGTACTTTGCAAATACTCTAGTAACAAAAATGGCTCATCTGGACTGGTTTCTAGATGTAAGCTAACTTAAAATTCAGGGCACTAGGGATTTCTTGGGGAGTAGATTGGCTGCAACAGATACTTGGACTGGGAATTTTTGCATTATGTTGCTGTCATTGTACTGAGACAGTCATCTGCATCTCAGCAGAATTGCTTTAGTGCCCTGAAATGGTGCAGTCACCAGTCTGGGGTAAAGCTGAGGTTTAAAAGGCAGATGGTTGTGTCGTCTGTTGTGTTACTTCAGCTCCAGTTCACCCTTTCCCTTCATTGCTCCTCAAAAAAATAATAAAATTCAGGTTCACTTAGTGTGATTGTATCAGGCATGACAAGGCACGGGGTTGTGTGTTGCTTCCCAGGTAGAAATTACTGTAACATTGTGATTCAAGATGTTGATTCCTTGGAATTGCTGGGGAAGGTTATTCCCTTCACACAGCTGCTGTCCTACACGTCACCTACCAACAGAGCTGTGCCATGTTCCCATGTGTGCATGTCGGTGAGGAAGGAAGACATCTGGAAGTCAGTTGGATGAAGGAAATACTCAAATGTGAGTGAAATACCTTAAAGCTTTTTGCTTTTGTGGTAGACATCTAATACCTGCCCTCTGCCTGTGCAGACTGGTCTTGTCCAAATGAGTCCAGTTTGTGCAAGGAGAGCATTTAGTGTAACTCGCATGCAGAGGGACCAGAAAGAAGGGAAATAGCAGGAAGAGTTACTGGAGCATGTAATGTGCTCCAGCAGCTGGCTCACGTTTCCATCTCTAAAAGCTCTTTTTTCCCTGTGCGTGTTCTCTTGCGGGCTCATCTGATGCAATGCACATCATCTTAATCCCAGATTCCTGTGCAGTATTTCTGACAGGGAATCTTAATCCCTGAGCGTAGCTGAAAAGCAGTTGTGTGGTGTAGGGATGATAACAAAACCAGTGGCTGCTTCTGGCCATCGGGGATTTCCCCCAGAGAAGTCAAAGCTGATCTCAGTGGGCTGCTCGGGGGGGTGTTACCGACGGCTGGCTCTTGAGTCCTGGAGCTGCTGGAGCACACAGAGAGGGGAATGGCATAAGAAACAGTCATAGCGAGCTGGAGCATGAAGCTAAGGGGATGAAGCTTGGCTTGTGGCTGTTCCACACATGTTCAGAGGCAGTTTTGGGAAAACTGGCCAGGTGCTGTGTCACTGCACTGGGATGGTGTGAGCAGGAATCAGCCATGGACTTCCAGTGTTGCCTGCCAGTGCTGCAGAGCCTGGGAGCTGGTTGAGCTGCTGCTGTACAACCTTTCCAGGGAAGGCAGCAGGCTGCCTGAACTTCCTTAACTTCCCAGCAGTGCTGTATCCTTCTGTTGCTCTGGGCCTCCCATTGACTTAAAAAGCACTAACTACTGTATTATGCACTTAAAATATAAAATTGATAGCTAAGTGCCAGTGTCCTCAGTGTCCTCTGCGACTTGCAACCAGTTTATCTGGAGGGAGATCGTTGTGGAAAACCAGTGAAATTTTCTGTTATTTTTATATCTAGAGACTCTGTATTGGGCTTTACTGGTTAGTGGTCTGTGTGTATGCTCCTGCTGCAGGTATTGGACTTGTTGAGGTAGGAATGGAGAGCTGAACTGCTGTCAGGATTTTGTGTTATTGCCTCCTTCAGTAATTACTTTGGAAACAAGTGTCTCCAACTTTATCCAAATGTATTTTTGTCCTTGGCTTGAAGTTTGTTAAATTACCTTCTTTATGCAAGAGCTGACTCACCAGTCTGGGATCAATTCTGATAGTTTTAGCTACAGAGTGGCTGTGTTGAAATTGATTTCCAAATTTTTAAGGAAAAGAATGCTGTCTGTGGCATTCTGATGGCCAGCTGATCCTTTGGTTTGAAGGAAAAAGCATTCTGCCTGGGAGTGCTGCTGCTTCCCTTGTGTCTGGAAAAGCTGGAACAACTTCCACGAAATCCCTGAGCTACCAGCCACTGCTGGGCAGGAACAGGTCCTGTGCAGGCAGGTGACTCTGAACTCTGTGAGCTGTCCTTGAATTTGCTTGCAGGAAAAGTCCAGTGGTGATGAGGTGGTGGCTCTGATGCCTCAATGAAAAAGTGATCCTCATCTTCCTGGCATTGTTGCAGGGAGCTTTTGTGGTGAGGAAGCTGAGCTAGCCCAGGAATTCAGTGCTTCCCAAAGGAATCAGTGCTCTGAACCGGAGCTGTTGCTCTAAAAGGCAGAGATTACTGATTCTGTTTGGAAATCTCTACATGTGGAACTGAGAAATAGTAAGACACAGGAGGTTTTTCCTCATTCCAACTTTTATTTCATATAAATAATCCCTCTACATCAGATTTGTCAACTTTTCAGTTTTTTCTCTCACCATAAAGAAGAAACAGCTAAGCCACAGTTGTCTGAAAAATCACAACCCAGGCACCAAACAAAGTGCATTGAGCAAAGTGTTAATGAGCAGGAAAAAATACACTTAGAACAGGCACAAGCTGTCCAGTCCCATTCTCAGAGCCTGGATCAGACTCAATCCTTCCTGGGCATCATTACCTGCAAAGTCACTTGGAAGAAAGGAAAAAAAAGAGGGAATGGAGGACCAGTGATGGTTTTTCCTTTCAGAATGGAGTCTAGGGCAGTAAGGTTTTTTATCTCTTTAACACAGTCCTGGACCAGGGCAATGTAAAATTCCTGCCTGGCCATGTGTCCAACTGTTCCTGGGGAAAACAGCTTTTGAGCTGAGACTGTGTGTTCCATGGACCATGAGGCAAGCTGGCTCCTGGGAAATGCTGGTAATGACTCAGTCTGACTGGACCAAGAGCCAGGTCAGAGACCTGATGTACAAAATAATAATGAATTTAAAAACTAAACAATTTCAAGCAGGTTTTTGAGCCAGTCAGATAAGGAAAACCAGCCTTTAACAGTGATGGAGAAGCTCCAGGACCTGGAGCAGTTTTACAATCTTCTATTTATCTGTTTTATCTGTTGGATAAGTCCAAATAAACCCAGTCTGGGCTTTGGTGGGGTGGAGATGTTTCTACTGATAAAACACAAAAGCTGCATGCTCTGTTTCTTGATAATACCTGGTATGGTTCCAGTAAAGTCTCCTCAATTTGGCACATGGAGGAAATTCCCAGGCTTGTGCTTCATGGTAGGTGTCACGGATCTAAGTCACGTGGGAAAACAAATGTTTGTCTGTGCAAATATTAGTTTATTAAAGCAGCATAGAGTATTTCAGTCCACACATGCCAACCTGATCTCCAGGGCAGTCTGCCAGCCTGGTCAGCCAACATCCTGCAGGACATTCCAGGCAGTCTCCACATATACCTGTCCCAGGGACGCTTACTCTGGCATCAAATTTTAGAGCAGCCTTGAAGTGAGGGTGATGCCGACTCTGCCCTGTCATTCAGAAGTCAGAAATTATGTTGTGTTATTCCTTGTGCCTTCTCCTTAACTGATAGCTGTATTCCAGCTGGGTCCTAGCTTGCTGTAACTGAAAAGCCAAGCAGCTAGAATTCCTGCATGTTTGTGCTTGTAAAGCTCCTCCAGATCCTCCATTTGAAAGGTATCTTTAAGGCCAGGTCAGAAGGTCTGCAGAGCAGCTTAGAGAGGATTCCTGCTCTCTTAATGAAACACAAGGCTATGCAAGGCACAACCAGGAAGGTGAAAATGTTTCATACAAAGTCTTGGACCTCCAGCTCCAGTTTGGCCTGGGTCCTGCTGCCAACTGCTTTGGGCAGTGTGGTGGGGGAGGAAGATTATTGTGCTATCCCCCTCCTTGCCGTGCTGCAGGGATGCCCAGTTACACTTGGGAAGGGGGCACGGAGTTTGCTGGGTTATGCACACACCTGCTCACCCGAGCAGGCACCTTCCTTGGCACAAAGCACTGTCCTGATGTGCTCCTCAGCCTCTCAAAGGGGAGGACAGCTGGAGGCTCTTCAAAGAGGAGGTGCTGGCTTGATCTGTGCTTGTCAGAAGCGCTCCATCCATCCATCCATCCATCCTGCTCATGCCCCGCAGCCCCTGCCACTACCATACACCTCTGCCAACACTTCAACCACGTGCAAACCTCTAATACAAGAGCTCTGAACACAACTTCTTCACCCACCTACTGAACTACACCCTAACACCTCACCCCTCTGCTTTGCCAGTCACCTCTTCCTGCTGTTCCAGTTGCTGGTACAGCCCCTGGCACGTGCCTCCAGCCTTTGGGGAAAAAACAGCATGTGTGCCCAGAAACCCAAGCCATAAGTTTAAAAAGAATTAGTCATTAAATAAAATAAAGTGCATCCAGTAGACATTTCCTTGGCTTGCCACACAGCTGCAATATATGCCAAACAAATAGCTAAGTGATGGTGTTTTCTCTGTAGGGTGGGAGTGTGTGCACCCTTCCCTGTCCTTTGACACACGGATAGGGAAGGGGGATGCCAGGACTGTGAGTGGGTGGTGATGGGGACCCCACGTTGTGAATGGTGCTGAAGGGCACTGCACAGGTGCTGAAAGCTGATTTCATAGAAGGTAAAAGAGTGAGGACAAGCTTGTGCTCCTCTTCTCCTCCACTGCCTCCAGCACGTTATCCTGTGAAACAAGAGCAGAGACAGCCGCAGGATTATCAGTCTCCAGGGAACTGCTGAGCTGTAAATTAAAATGTCTGCTGAGTTCCACCCTGCCCTTCTTGCACGGCTGGGGCTGCTTGGGAGGCACCACTGGGGCATAACCCAGATACCTGCTGCCAAATCAGAACAGGAGCAGTGGAGGCTCTGCAGCCCAGGGGACGAGCTGACTGTACCAGTTTGGATTAAACACTCTCAGTCCTCCTCTGGGATACATCAACTTTACTCTTTCCTTATATCTCAGGAACAGCAATCTTAATGTGTTCTTGTGTGTGCTGGTTCAGCACCTAGAGCACCAAGAGAAGAGGCTGATTTCAGGTAGGGCTTTGTGATCCTTCCTGGTGAACCTGGCCTGGGTGTGCAGCACTTGTGAACCCCAAGGGCAGAGGCTGAATCAGCTTTTCCTAATGAAAAACTATGCTGTGAGTGGAACCTGCTGTCCTAGAGCTGCTTCTAGACCCCGACATGCTGAATTTAATTGGGAAAAGCAGAATTTTTATTCTTTTCTAGTTGCCAGATGCTTGGGTGCTGCTCAGAATTGCTGAGCTGGCATTTTCCTGCATCCATGTTTAAATCCGTAGATCTGCCTTTTGCTGATGCAGATTTCAGCACCCAAAGCTCCCAAGAAAGGTCAGGGAGAGGGATATAAAAAAGAAGAGATTAAATCATCCAAAGACAGGAGAGGTCACAGGAAACTTGGCTTGCATAAAAAAGAAACTTCTCAAGGAACCATCTAAAGACACAGCCACATATATTTAATAAGGAAGTGCACTGAAATCAGACCCGAGGTGCTGACACAACTGATGCTGTGTACAGCTGATATGAGATTGTTGCTGGAGACTTAATTCCTTCTCCTGTCTGTGTGCAGCAGTGAGGGCTGGCTGTGTCCTGCTGCCGAGGGCTGCTCAGTTGCTGTGGCAGCACACTGGGATTTAATGAGACTGGGAAGGGCCAGAAGCAGACAGTCACACTTGGTGGTCCAGATATTGTAAAGTAATGTGGTTTATGAGTCTGAGCTGACTCCAGCACGAGTTCTTCTATTGTGGATCTATTTGATCACTGATGCTTTCAGAAGGCTCTGACTGTGTTTCAGTGCTGGGAGACAATTCCCTTTCCTGCTTTGCAGTACTATCCTTTCAATACAGACACCTTCTTCCCATGCATGAGTGAGTCTTTACAGCCAAGACACTGGTGGGCTTTAAAGTCATTACTTCTCTTGGTAATTAGCCAGAGTGATTAGCCTTTCTCACATTTCCCACTGTATCCTCTTTCCCATACATAACTCCAGGGCCAATGGGAGATGGAGCAGCTGTGGGCTGGCTGTGAGCTGGGGCTCAGGGCAGCAATGCCACCTTGTGCGGCCTGGGCTCTGCCACCAGAGTGGGAATTGTGTGGTGGCAGAATTCCCTCTGTGTGTCAGTGTCACAGGAAAAGACTGTCACAGATCACTGCTGTCTGTCTCACACCTCCCAGCCTGGCTGGCTGGGCGCTGTCACTGGGATGGCCTTCACAGCCAAGCCAACAGCAGGTCCTTGTGGGACCTACTGGTCAGGCCCCATGTGATGGAGGGATGTGCAGAACTCCCTGAAGCTGCAGCTGAACATAGCTGATGAAGGTCTGGGATAGCAGGAACAACAGTGGGATATGAGAACAGCTCCATTCCTGGTGTTTGGAATGGCAGCAGCTCGCCCATCAGAGCCCTGAGTTATGTTTAGACGTGTTAAGCTCCAGTAAGTGGCTCTCAGGATTCAGCCATGGCAAGCTTCCAAGTGCTCTGGAAGCCACCTTTTCCTTATTTTCCCATATTTATTCCTGAGCTTCTCCAATACATTGGTCCCTGCCCCAGCATTGTGTTCTGGCTTCGATGTTTCTTCTCCTTTGCTGATGTTCACTACCCACATATCTACAGAGATCACAATTCCACTGCTTTCTGCCTTCATTTTCCTAGACTAAACAACATTCCCTCAACAGCCCTGGAGCCTTCCCTGTGTGTCCCTAGTCTCTTGCACCATTCTCACAGAATCCCTATGTTTTCCAATGTTAACACTGTCCTCCCATGTTGTGCCATCACTCCAGAGATATGGAGACAACTATGTCGAGTCCCACTCCCTGACTGCATAAAGACCAAGCTTTCCACTTAGGTGGTACTCAGAGGTGCTCTGGGAATTTAAAATGCCCATGGCATGAGGATGGGCTCCGGAGGGTGGTGCGGGCTGCAGGAAGGACCAGGGAAGCCAATGCTATTCAAGACAAGCCCTTGACCCTGCCAATCCTAGGCCAACTCCCCAAACATACCAGCAGATGGTACCTTCCTGTCTCCTGAACCTCAAGGAAGCTGGTTGTCCTTCGGCAGCTCCACAGCTGTTTTGGGAAGTGCTGGTTTCTGCTTGTGCTGTTTCCTGCACCAACCTTGGGCGCTGGTTTGCATCAGAGCCGACCTCTGCTGACCTCCTCGGTCCTGCAGCACTCAGGCCCTGCCTGCCCCACTCCTGTTTACGTCAGCCAGTGCTGCAAGGTCAGATCCCTGGAGCTGCTCTGGAAATCTACCCCCAGCTGCATTTTCTCTAAAGATGTTAAGATTAATTTTCTCAAGAGAATTCAGGGAAAAGCTTCTGTGGTTTTTGTGTATCGTTTACTTCTCTGGGACTTGTTGGACGTTCTCCAGGGATTCCAGTCCTGCACTTCGAGTAAATATTTATTCCTTGTTATTTGAAGCGAAGGATGAAAGCCCCACCACACTCTCTGCACAGCATCTCCCACTGATTTGAAGGTGCTGGAGATTTTTAGTGCCATAAATAGACATTGGGAGGGGGAGCTGTGAAACCCACGTGGTGGCTGCACAGGGCTTCAGTTGTGCAGGAAGGGATGTGAGATCTGCATTTAATGTGAGTAGGACACAGGCCCCATGAGCCGGGCAGGGGGCCAGCACATCGTTATCACTGAGTACAGATGTTTCCAGCTGTTACATATACCTGCTGAGCTCTGAAGTGGACTCAGGGCCCTATTACCAAACCATGGGAATCTCCATTGCTGAGATGAAAATGGACTACTCTAATTTATTGTTTCCTCTTAGTTGGTGTCTAATTAAAGTTATCCTGAGCGAGCAAAGTAGTCATTAATTCCTCCATCCTCTAATTTGGTGGGAATTTTGGTAGATTGGAGAGGCGTGGCTGGACAGTAATCTCCCATTATGTCCTTCCAGGTATTTCATAACATACTCCTAAATGCTGTTGGAATTAATTTCCCTCACTTGAAGGAATTTTAGTTCAAACATAGAACCAGCTCCTGCTGGTTCTTGATGTTTTGTCTTTTTGAAATGACTATGACGCTTGCACTTCTCCCTGCCTTTTATATGGATTGGATTATAGGGGAAGTCTTTGTTAGCAGCTTAGCCACTTCATCCCTAATCTCATTTGTACCTCTGGGAGGAATACTGAGCAACACCGGGGGACACATTGCTGTGTAGGGTCTGCAGAAAAGCTTCTGGAATCTGGGAAAGGCACTTGGTGGGGGGATCTGCCTGCCTGGCTCTGAGCAGCTCATTGCCTCCAGTGCCTACTTATGGAACAGAGCTGCTGCCTCTGTGAAGGAGAGAGGCACGAGTATCCTGAGAGCCACTCCCATGTTAGGCAAGCTGGATTGTGTTCTGGGAATACTCATCTCTGTTTAGTGTGATGTTCTGCTCTGTGGGACATTGCCTGGAAAAAACACAGCTTGCAAAGAGCCCCTACCCTCTCTCCTTTCCCCTTCCTCCTAATTTCTACCTTAACTTTGTACTTGTCATCCTTTGTTCCTTCTCCTGGGTTTGCATTTGCCTTGATGGAAGAAAAATTGTTTGTGTAAAACCTGGAGCATTGCTCCATAACTGGCTCTGTTCTCCCTCCCTTCTGTTTGGTTCATGGACCTTTACACCACGAATCATCTCACCCTGTGTATTTATACGCTGCCCTGCACATCAGTGTTACCATGTGTAATTTAAAGTGTAGCACTCACAGACCTTCTACTGGAAGAGAATCTCACATACAATCAGCCTTCTCCTGAGCTCTGCCCACGAGGTGGACCCCTATGGCTTTGCAAGTGTTTTGGGGAAGGACCACAATGACCTCGAGTTGTGATCACCCCAGAGACAGAAATAAATTCATCCCAGTGAAGTTATTCCTCCCATCCTTTCTAAGGTCATAGTTTCCCAGGAATAGATCAGTGTGTGCCCTAACTAATGTGTGTCATCAACCAACTTCAGCAGCCCAGTTTTCTGTCTAAATTTTTCTGTCTGACTTTGCATTCCTTCTCCACCCACTGCAGGACAGGCCTTTGAGATCCACAGATTTAATTACCTTAGAGATCCATAGCACTGCTAACGAACATTTCTAAACAGTTATCTGGTACGATGACTTTGTATCACAGAAAATGGAGTTGTGGCCCTGTACTATGGCTGAGAGCATTAATGAGATGACTCACCTTATGTGTCAGGCAAGCCGGGCAATCTGCTAGTTGTGAGTGTCCCCACTGTCCTTGTCCTTGCAGTCCTCAGGCTGGTCCCCTTCCCCAGACTGGGATTTTGCCATGTCCTGCTCAGGCACAACAGCCTTGTCAGAGCTGGCTTTCCCTGGGGGCAAAGGCTTGTGATGTTCAGTGCCTTCAGCATCTTCACTTCCTTTCAGTGCAAGTGCCTGTCCCTCAAGAGCAGTAGTTTGGGTCACTTCTTCCCCTCCTTTGCTCACCAGCTGTCCTTGGTCTGCATCCAGTCTGTCTCCTGCTTCTGTGTCGAGCTTTCCTCCGTGGCTGTTGGAAGAGTTCTCAGAGGACTCCTGTTCTGAAGCTGGCTGCTTCTCCAACCCAGCTCCATCTACATTCGCTCCCACAGGCAGTGACACGGTCTCCTCGCTGCCAGGGCTGGTGCCTTGCAGAGTGTTCTGAAGGCTGCTCTGTGAAGCAGTGCTGTCAGCGCTCTCCTTCTCCTGGGAGACGTTGGCAGTGCCAGGCTTCCCATTGGCATCTTCCCCAACCCTTTCCTTGGTTGGCTTGGGCCCTGGCTCTGAGTCCCCAGCGCTGGCCACAGACACCTCTGTGCTGCAGCCCCTCACTCCCCTCCGCTCCTCCTTCTGGCCATTCTGGGCAGGCTGGACCTTCCCACTTCGCAGCCGCTGTGAGGAGGAGGCCCCGTGATCCTGGAGGCTTGGCTGCTTCCCCTTTTCCTCCAGCTCAGCTGTGCAGTTCTCTTCCACCCCCTCGTCACCTCTGCAATTTCGCTTGTCCATACCAAGGCTCCTCTGAGAAACAAAGGACGTATTAAGTTCAGCTTATTAAAATACCAGTATATTGTATTTCTAGTCTGTGGTGGTTCTGAAAACCTGAGGAAAAAGGATGTAAAAGGATGTAGGTGGAGAAGTGTTCAGGGACCAGAATAGGCGAGGTGGTTGTGCTGACAGAGGATCAGGGTAAGCAGTGAAGCTGCTGTCACACCAGGCCAGGTGAGGATGTGAGGAGTGTTAGTGGTGAGCACAGTCTCACCACTAACAGAAGTCTCCCAGCTCTGGAATAGATTAGAGATTCCAATATTTCTGATAGTGCTTGTGTTTAGAAAACTCAGCTGCCAGCCTGCAGCTCAGGAACTCACCTGGCCATCAAGGTCATCCTTCACAAGAGACATGTCCTTGCCTTCTTTTGCATCCCATCTGTCAAGAAAAAGTAATCAGAATTTAGGCTTTGAAGTTCTTACAAAGCCAGTCTCCCTTGCCTTACACCCAGACAGGGATTCCTTCCAGGGCCATGTATTCCTTGTCTGAGCCCCTTGTCCAGGCCTATCCAGAGACACTCATTTGAGACCACTGAATCTTAATGAACTGGTTGTTGTAATTTTAATTGTAATGAACTCCAATTGCCAGAACTGACAGTTGAGTCAGACTAAGAAGATAAGAGTTTGCTTGTGCTAATGCCTGCCACAGTTTGGGCCTGCTTTCCTGACAGTGCCCAAGTGTGCCAGATCTCCACGACAGCAATCACAGAGGCAGATACTGAAGGCTAAAATTACTTTGAAGTAGCTTGGAAGTCAGAGAGACTATTTACAAGGGCTTGCAGTGACAGGACAAGGGCCAATGGCTTCCACTGACATAGGGAACTGTTAGGTGGGATATGCTTCCATGTGAGTGTGGTGAGGCCCTGGCACAGATTGCCTCTTCATGACTAGGCAGGGAGTGAGGCGTGGACGTGCACACCATGGCAGTGCTGCCAGCTTCTCACCTTCTGGCTCTGCCTGTCAGTCTGTCCTTCCCCTTGGCTCGGCTGCTCACAGCAGGCACTGCTTTCGGCCCAGGGTCACTCACATTCACTCCATGATGTCCTCCACCTAGAAAACAGGCAGGAATGCCATGCAAAAGCAGGCAGAAGCAGCTGATGGACCACTGAACAGACCAACACCCTTGTAATCTTGGAAAGGACCTCTGAGGTGGGAAGCCTTTGAAGCTGTGTGCATAATGCACATATATTTTCTAAAGTAATGAAGACAAATCAAGAATTTAGGGTGTTTCTTTTTTGTTTTTTTTTTTTTTAAATTCCAAATCCCAATTCTAACTTTAAATCTTATTCCTTGGATACAGTCTTACTTGTGCTGTTCTTGGAAAACTTCTCCCCTGCACACAGCTATGAGAGCAACCATGTGGTGCGTTCCAAAAGGCTCTCCAAATCTGCAAGTGTCTAGAGAGAACACTCTCCCTGAGGGATATCAGAGGTGCTGGCATTTAGTGGGGTGACACAACACAATCCTGTGGTTTACTCACCTCTCCCATCCGCAGTAAAGGACCTGTGCTGGAATTTTCTTGCATTCCTTCCCCCTGCAAGGACACAACAAAGGATGCACCAAAGTGAGTGAGGGTCTGTAATGAACGGGCAGAAAAAACCTGATGTTCAAGTAGGGTGTCATGAGGGAAAGCTTTGTTTTGCCAGTCCATCTCCTGAGAAACAGGAATCAGGATGGACTTATGCTCATAAAGAAGCCAGCATGTGCCATAGGGATCAGAGATGATGTGCTCTGGAATAGGACTGCCTCTTAAAGGAGTATGTGGGAAAGGAGGCAGGGCTGCGCCTCCACACTGTGTCATACCAGCTTACAGAAGCCACTGCTCTCCCTGGGAAGGTCCAAAGCTCTAGCACCCAGCTGCTCAAATCCCATCCCCCGAGCCCTCTGCCCAGCAGGGAGGGCTGAGCCCCCAGCTCAGAGGCATTTGCCCAGGAAAGCAGAGCTTCACAGCTGACAGCCATGACAGCTGCTGTGGCACTGGGATGCGCACGATCAGCGTTCACTAGCGTCAGGACAGAGTCTAGGTGTCCCTTGCCAACCTTTCTTACTGCTGGGATTATCCAAGGCTGGCTCCCCATCCTTAACAAAGTCCTCTTCAAACCTGCAGGTTAAAAACAGGCATTGTCAGACCTGACCATCCTCCTCCAGTGTGCAAAGCGTGGGCAGGAGCCCTTGGCACGATGCAAGCTCCGGCCTTTGGCCCTTCTGCAGCTGCCCACAGGCAAACCTGTGCAGGTTTCTCAGCAGCAGCTGAAGCAGCACGTACTAACTGAGGCTGTGAGGTAGTTCTACCCCAAAGAAGAACCTCTAAAATCTTTACATCAGTACCCATATGTATAAATTAAATGTTATGAACCTCCTATAGATGTAGGGTATACTACAATCTATAGATGTATAGATGTAGCTGTACTAAAATGCAGCTTCCCAAGCTTCCAAATACAATCTGAAGTAGCTTCAGGATTTGCCATCTCAAATCAGACCATTTGGTTGGCTTCTAGCCCTGCTTGTTTTATATTACGTCTTTTCTCTTAAAAATGGATTTTTGGAAAAACAGTAGGGCTCAGGGCTGTCTTGACATCAACACTCAGCAGCCACTTCAGTCAATTCACCCCTAATTACTGGGGTCTCAGCGACTGAAAATTGATGTGTTTGGTTCCATTCCTCAGCCAAAGGATTGTCCCACCTACCTGTCCTGTGCAAACTGTTCTATCACCAAACTTTTGTAACAGTCTCTAACTCCTCACCCTACCAGAAGCTTTTCCTGCTACAGGAGCCAAGTCATCCTCCAAAGCTCTCTAGCTGGTGTGACCTAGCTGAACCAGCACAGTCAGAGGGACAGTGATTAAGGCAGGGATGTGTTCAGCCCCATTCCCAGCTGTCCCACATTGCTGTTCTCAGCATTGCCCCTGTATGACACAGGTGGCTTTTTGAAGTGACCCCCTTGCCCTGCAGTGTCCGAACAGGCTCAGTTTGTGGAGTGGGGAGGATTTAGGCATGTTGGGCTCTCCTGTGCTTAAAAAGGACAAAGAAGTGGGGGCAGTTAGAGAACCTGTGGACTAGCAATGCAAGTTTGTCCATCCAGGTTTCTGGAAGAGCACCTGTACCCTCCTACCATTGGATTTGTTTGTGTGGAAATGGAGAGGATCCTCCAAATGCAGACTGAACCTTGATTCATGCTCCCCTCCCTCCTACAGTCTATATCCTGGTTGGACCAAAGGCAGGCAATCTTTGTCAGCACATGGTATCCCCTCTCAGGAGAGCTCATACTAGGAAGAAAACATGAGAATCACTCTGATACCAGATCCCACTTATGGGCATGGTCTGGGGAGGAAGAGGCAGCAGTGTGGATTTGGTCAGGCACATGACAGCATGGGATTCCTAAGTATCTGCACAAGATTCCACCACTGGCTTTAGGCCTGCTGCAGGCAAAGCACCCTGGGACAGGGAAGGACCTACATGTGCTCCGACTTCTCCACATCCCAAGCCCGTCGCCACTCGCCCTTGGCATTCTTGTGACGTGCCAGGCGCTCCAGGTCAATCTGGTCTCGCTCCCTCTTCCAGCGGATGTACTCCGAGCGCTCCCGGCCACTCATGGGGAAACTCGGGTCTCCAGGGCTCTTCTGGACTGGCTTCCCACCATCCTAGGGGAGGGAAAAGAGCTTCTGGTTAATAAAACTGTCTGAAACAGCTGCATTCAGGGTACTTTGTACTGTCACCACCATAAATACTCAGGAATATTTGAAAACAACTTTGGACAAGGTCAGCTCCTTTCTCTGAAGTGCTGTGTGCACACCAGGACTCTGCTTTACCCAAAGCCTAAATACACTGGGGCTTTTTGGCTCTACAGAAGGGAAAACTGAGGCAGGAACCTTTGCTAAGGTTTACTTATGGCATAGAGTCAGTTCCTGGAATGCTTGCAACATCTCTCAACAGGGTTTGAATGATGAGTCCCTCAACCTGAAGGCTTTGGGATACATAAGTTGAAGTTATGCCTGTGAAGTCCTTCACAGTGAGAAGGCAGGGAAGGAAGCCAGCCTTGTGTGACCACCAGGCATCCACGGGAGCCCACAGTCCCAGAGCTGCGGCCAACCCTGTGCTCAAGAGCAGCATTCCCAGAGCAAAGGGGCTCTTTACCTTCACTGCTGTCAGGCTCCTGGTTTATCACTCCTCATGACAGACTGGTTAAGGGCTGACACTGCTCAAAAATTTAAAGCTTAATGGAAAGACAATTCAGAGCTGATGGAGCATGTGGGGGGGAAGTAGCCCAGCTGTCAGGTTAATGGATGAGGTGGAAGCAGGAGCCGACAGGCTGTGGTGTGTTGTCAAGCAACAGTGTGTAGGGAATAGCTTAGTGCAGAGCTGAGTCCTGGGGTGCTAATTACCAGCAGATAATTCATCACCTCATACACGTGTCCTTCCATGCCAGCCACCCTCACACCTTCCCCAAAGAGGAATTAACTCCTCAGCCTTGCACTGCGGGTAAGAGAAGCAGCAGGGAGAAGGGACTGAAAGCCCTGTTACCAAGGTGACTCACCTGCGTGGGCCGGAGCTGGGGTGGTACCAATTGCTCCTCCATTCCTCAGCTGGCAGGAGCTGGGGACCTGACACCGTGTCCCCAAGAAGGAAGAGATGAGGGGGTCCTGCCAGGATGGATCCTGATGCATCCATTAAGCCAAAAGCAAGGGAAGGACTGAGGCTGATGCCTGTGCTCTCTTTTGGGGAGAGGCAGAAATGGCTGGGGGCCTATGGAGCAGGAGGAGTCGGTCCCTCACCTCATTACAGCGTAGCTGGGGTTAGCTGGACCACAGGCTATCATGCTCCCCCTTCCTGCTCTGGGGGGCTCAGCTGGAATTAGTGTCTAAGAGCCCATCTGTGTCCTCCTAATGAATCACACTGAGGTGGGGTTATTCTATTTGTGCTCCATTAATTAAAGCATCTGCAGGCTCAAGGGAGCCAGCATGTCTCCAGGCTTTGCATTAAACAGTCAGTGGGAAGGCCTGTGCTTTAATTTACCTCCATCCTACTCAGCTCCTGCTGAAGTGAGGAGCTGTAGCTAATACAGCCTGAGCTTTTCAATCCACAAGGAAATGGTTTTGAGAGAGGAAACAGCCAAAACTGTGCTGCCACAGAGGTGAGCATGTTACCCTTCCTAACGTCCCTATGTGTGAAGGGCTTGAGCAGCCATGACAAGTGTGGAGGCAGGTCCTTGTCACCTTTCCAGTGCTGCTTGCTCCAGGTGTGTCAGCTGCTCAGCAAAGCTTTGTATGATGAGAGTGATGAACAGCGGGAGCCACATCAGAGCACAAGGCTGCTTCACAGAATTACAGGATGGTTTGGTCTCAAGAGACCTCAAAGGTCATCTTCCTTTAGGATTATGGTGGAAAGGCACATTCTACTGGTTTCCTCTTCCTAGACAAAGGTCCCCACAAAGGGACCTGGTTCCCACTCACCTTCCGGCTGTGCTCACTTTCTGGGCCTCTGTCACTGTCTGATCTCCTCTTCTCTGCTGTTCTCCGCTCTTCTCCCTGCAAGAGAACGGACACAGGATTAAACAAGGATTCCTCGCAGGGGAATCAGCACCTGAACCTATGCTGACCAGGACATGTAAGAACTTCTCAGAAAAGATCAGCAAAAGAGGAAGGATTTTTTCTGGGGCCCCAAATCAAACTGATGTAGAAAAAAAAGAAGTCAGAAAGCAAGGGGTGCATGAGAAAAGCATTCCCAGAGGTCACTCCTTCTCCCAGGCTGGAAGCAGAGTGGTGTCCTGCATGGTCCTGTTTCTTTCCAAGGCAGACCAAGTTCCAGGTACCTTTACAGATTTGGGCCATTTTAGAATTCCATTGTACAAGATCTGGATAGCTACAAACAGCAGCTATCTGGTGCAGCTACAACCCAGCATGGTCAAACTAGGAGTGATTTCAGTCCCTGGCAAACATGGCATCCTTCTACCACGGTCCATCCCTGCTCCCATGGGGTTTACCCGTGCTGCCACCAGATTGGCAAGCTCTGCTCTGGTGTTGATATTCCCCAGCCTGGCAGGAGGTGACAATCAGCCTCTGTTTCTTAGTGAGCTACAGGCACCAAACACGGGCCAAGCCAGGGGTTCTCTGTCCCCACACATGATGAATAATTGAGGAGACAGAGCCATGTCAGAGGCCAGGGTGAGATTGCAGTGGGTCTTAACAAAACAGTCTGCAGAGCATAAAGATCTTTTAGGAAAGGCTTCCTGCCTGGCTGGACAGCTACAGGGCTGGGGCTGTGGGGGGCTGAGTTTGTCCTGCTGCCATTTTGCAGTGCCAAGCAGAACTGAAACACAAAGAGGAACGTGGCAGCACGAACTGCCAGCTCAGCCCTTCCAGAAAGCAGCAGCGTGGTGAAGTCCAGCCCAGGCTGGAAACAGGACTTTTATTCCATGCATTCACCAGACACAGCTTTAGTTTTACAGGGAAACTTGGGATATCTGTCTTGATACCTGCAGTTCTGCCCAATCTCCTAAGGCAACAAATGCTGCTGCAGCTTGTTCTCATGTATCCCATGGAATCATGCAGGGAATGAGCTGGGGACACATTTTTGGGGGATTGCCCACACATGCTAAGTCTGAGGCAGGTGGGAAATGTGGCCATATAGTTCATGGACTGTCACTGCACTTGGTGCATGACAGCTTCACTGGTCTGACTCATAGCTCCAGTACAGATGGAGGTTTGTTCAAACAGATCCTTGGAAATAACAAGGAAAATTTTAGCTATATTGTCCCAGGATTTCTCTGCAAAGATTTAGGAAAAATACAGAGGGGTCTGTGCTCAGAGAAGCTGCCCCTCACTACATCCTGCCTGTTGCAAAAGGGGATATGGTGAAAGATGACACTGGGGATTTATTTCAAAATGCTGTGAAAACTTATATAACCAAAAAATGCTCCCTCTGGACTCAAAATCACCTGCTCTGGCAGCCCTGTTTGAAGAACCTGAGAGATTGAATAACTCTCTGCAGTCCCAAACTGAGCATTTACTAAGAGATTAAACAGCAGAAATCTGGAAACTTTGCTCTCCAGGACCCTACATCCCAGTGGCTGTCCCATTTGGAATGGTTGCTCATCAGTGCCCACCACAAACCTGGGTCACAGAGACACTGCACAACCCTTCATCCTTTTACACCCTCACTGCAAGCCAGCTGCCTTTTGCCTTAGTCTGCTTCTATTTTTGCTTCTCAGAGGGCACTGTGGAAAATGGAGAAGACCACAAAAATGTAGTTCTTTTGTACCAGGACAGCAGGTCTGAGCTGTGCAGAGACCAGTCAGCTTGGCTCTTGCACTGGCTCAGAAGCAGAATTCCTGTTGTCCTGCTGTCCCAGAACTGCTCCTCCTGTTACCACACACCCAGGCCAAGAGGGAGCAAAACATGTTTTTCTTTTCCTTCTCCTCTCTGCCCCCAAAATAAAGAAAAATGACATGGACATTATCATTCCTAGTGTAACTGTTCCTGCAGAGCAGGAGGAGGACACAAAAGCCTGGAGCAGTCAAGGAAGATTATGATTGTTTATCCTGAGGTTCCTGCCAAGATTTCTCGGTTTCTCAGTCCAGAATGGCCCAGGGTGGGGCCCAAGGTGGGGCAGAGCCTGCTCCAAACCAGCCCTGGGATCCCAAATGCCTTCTGCCAGTGGGTCTTTCTGACTCCCTGGCACACATATTCCCAGCTAATGTCAGTGTGCAGTGGTGACAGTACTGATGCCATTATCCAGCCAAACACTGGTTTGTACTAACAGTTCTCCAGAAGCTTTGACAGGCTTCCACATCTCTGGGCTAGTTCAACGCCTCCTTTTTTTAAAAATAAGGACTATCAGAGGAGTTAAACAAACCTTTTGGTACCCACCTCTCCAGGCACGTGTCAGCACCACAACTGGCATTTCTTCTTGAAGAAATGAGGAGATTTTTGTAGAAGCTTAAAGCCGTTTTTCTAGTGCTCAGATTCCCCACTGGGCAGGATTTTTGAAACTAGTACATGAGAGGATTTTTTTATAACTCTTTTGAAAAATCTGCCTCCTTAATTGTGCTGCCTGAAGGGAGCTAAAGACTTTTCAGCCACCCTCTCTGCCTATTTCCCCCTCCCATCTGCAATGTAAAAGCAAGTGTTTCTCCTGCCACAGGTTTGGTTCCTCTCCTCTGAAAGCACCAAGTCTGACTCCTCTGTGTTAGTCCCTGAAAGCAGCTTTTGTGTCTCTTGATTACAGTCATTTCTGATACACCATCCTGGGAAACTCTGTTAATAAAAGGACAATTTAAAAGCCCTGAAGCTCTATCAACTGCCCATTTAAAAGATGATTTGTAACCTGTTAATTAACCATTGTGCTCCACTGGTCCTGGGCTGCTGGCTCCCAGCTCTAATGTACTAATGAGCCTGAAACACTGCCAAAGCATGGAGTGGCTTTTAGGGCTAAAAATGAAGGATTGTCTCCAGCCCTACATACAGGAGAGCCCAGAGGCAGGTTTAGGGGCAGCCAGGCAGAGATGGGTCCCAGATGTGGCACTTCCAAGCCAGCAGCAGCACTGGAGGTCATGAAGCTGCAGCAGTAGAGTGATGGACTCTGCAAGGAGACAGGATAATTTGGTCCCTTCAGCCCTGTGGGCTAACAGAGAGTGAAAGAGTCTTTCTGCTTATGGCACTGGAGCTGTCTCAGAGAAGGAGATATGAAAGCATCTTTTTTCCCTTGCATTTCCTTTGGTAGCTCCTATCTCAGCTCTGCTGCAGTCTGGGACTGACAGTGTGGGTTAGCCAGAAGCACCATGGGCAGCAAGAATGGGAGCAGTTTTCCTCTTTGGGGATTTTTTTTTTGTTTTGTTTTGTTAGTTTGGGCTTTTTTTTCTTTATTGAATTTCATCACGAATAAAAATAGAGAAAATGTGTGGTAATGAGGACACCCATCAAGTACTTTAATTGGATAAATATGACACGTGCACAGAGGAGGAAGCAAATTTGACAGTGGCCAGGCTACTGGAGGGGGAGTGATGGATGTGATTCTTTCTCCTAGGTCTTTGTGGGAACCCCAAAAGAGCAGGGAACCAGCTGGGGCACAAAGTAAAAAGGCCCAAAGGATGAACCATGCTGTGGTTAATGAGGGACTGAAAGTTAATCCTTGAATCCGGGGTCCCAGCTCAGGTCCTAACACAGAGCTACCCAGCCACTGACACCCCACCGGGCTCTCCAGCAGCTGATCGATTTGGGGATGAAAATGAAGTTTCTCTTTTAACAACTGATTAAAGGATAGAAAAGAAAAAGTGGCAAGAAAATGGTGGTTTCCATGGCAGAAGATTAGCAGGAGTGTGCCACTGGAGCATGTGCTGCTCAACATGCTCATAAATGGTCTGGAAAAGGAGCTGAAGAGAGCGATGACAGTTTGCTGATGATACTAAATCATCCAGGGCAAAGAATGTAATTTGCCCGGAAAGAGCTGCGAAAGATCTCTTGACATTGAATGCCTGCATCATAAAATTACAGCTGAAATTCAATATCAGTAATACAAAATAACTCACACAGAGAAAAATGTCCCTTCTTGTATACACACACACAGTAATGAGTCCTGAGCTATGATTAACAGTCAGGAATGAAATTTTGGTGTTACTGTGACTAGTTCTCTAAAAATGTTAGCTCAATTATTTAGGGAAAAAAAAGCAAAGAAAATGCAAACTTGTTGGGAGAAGAATAGAGAACAAACCAGAACATTGTTATGTCACTGAGTACATCCTGGAGAGCCCGCAGCTGGAATACCATGTGCAGTTCTGGTCTGCTTGTACTGAAAGAATATGGTAAAAATAACAAAAGCACAAATGGGGACAATGAGAATGATCAGAAATAAAGAACAGTCCTCAGCAGACAAGTCTAAATAGGGGCAATCTCTTAAGTTACATGAGATAGCTGAAGGGAGACGTGAAACAGGTCAATAAAATCATTTGTGCTTTGGGAAGTGACCTGGGAATGATCTATTCACTACATTCCCTGATGCAGGAACAGCAAATGGAGCTGTCAGGGAACATGGCTGAACAAGTCTGGGATTCTAAGCTTCTATGAGTCTATGGCTTTAGCCAGTGCAGCCTTAGGCCTGCCCTCATATGCTCTGAATCCGGATGCTTTGAGGCCAGTATGAGCAAGGCATTGCCAAAACCACATACATGGATGCTCAGCTTCAAATTTCACATTCCATAATAAAACCAGATAAGAGATGAGCTTCCAGGGCAGTCCATACTCTTAAGAGACCACAGGATCTAAAGCCAAGATCCAGGCACTCCTCCTGCTGCTCTCTCCTAGTACAGCCCCAGCCTTGATGACCTCAGAGACAAATATTTAAACAGGCCCAGCAGAGAGCAGAAGAAGACACTTGCCTGCCACATTACAGAAGTACGTTTGACAAGCTTAAGGGCAGAAACAGCACAGTCAGGTCAATCCCATTACATCCAGGAATGTTGGTGATGTCTGTCATGGGGACTTCTGGGGTTACCAGTGGCTCAATCAAGCAGCTCATTTGAGGTTTATGGCATTCAAAACACAGCTTGGCAGCCACAAGAAAGGAGCACCTGAGCTCCTGGAGCCTAGGTAAGCCCTGGGGAGGAGGAGAAGCTGAAGATAAGCGTGGGTAGTAGCAGCAAATGGTTGGCACTATTCCAGAGAGGGGCTGCAGATGTCCCCCAGCATTCCTGGGTGGTTGGTAGCTACACCAAGTGTGTTGTTTTCCTACACAGGCTCTGACCATGTTTGCTGCAGGCATTCTTTCTTATCTGTGAAAGCTTCCAAAGAGGAAAATAGCACATGCCTCTGTGTGTGTAAAGAGAAAGGTATTTGTAAAGAAGTATTTGAATTATGTTTCAAAGATTAACAAAGTTCAGCCAGCTCACTCAGCAGGTAATGGCCAGGCACAGCAGGGTGTGGTTCAGAGGCAGATATAGCCCAGCTCTGTTAACGTTTAAGTCGTGCAGTGAGTCAGGAGGACACTGCTCCTGTCCCAGTCTGCTGTGTGGCTTCAAAGAAAAGCTGGTAAGAGACAAGATGAGATTCATGCCCCATATCTGGCAGTGCTTTCATCAATCCTTCCAAAGCAGCATCTGTTGATGAACTCAGTGTGTTTAGGAGACTTCTAGCTTTAGCTAGGATCACAGGGGAGGGAAAAGATCACGGCTTTCTTCTTTCACAGGGATGGAAAGCAGAGATATGGAGATAAGCTGCACTATTAACATAGAGTGTCTCCCAGCATCCTGTGGCTAGGCTCTCCTCATGCCAGCAGAAGTGGATGCCACGGATAGGTTACAGGCCAGTCACTAGCACTGTATTTACCTTTTCCTTGTTGTCCATGGTGATGGCAATCTGCATCCTCCTGCCCCGTCGGAAAGCCACCAAATGGTCCATCTCCTCCTCGCTCAGGTCCGGCACTCGGCCCGGGCCAGGGAAGCTCTCGGCGCGTTTCTCGCTGACGATCCTCTTGCCCTGGAAGGCACAGGCTCAGTTAAGGACACCCCCATTAGCCCTCCTAGGAGAGTGGCCATCCCAAACTGCAAAGGATTTTGGGCTGGCAGAACAGAAAATGAGCAGAACAGTCAGACCCCTTGGCTCATAAAGCTGCCACCCCACTGTAAGGGATCTGTGATATTACAGAGGTGTGTTTAGCTGAGCACAACACCAGCATGGTGGGATTTACCCTGCTTGGATAATCTGCAGCATGAACACTGAAGGATGGTTTTATTTTAAGCTTGTGTCTGTGTCTTAAAAACAAATGTGAGGTTGTCCCCTCCCCATACAACATGTCCCAATAAAATGTGAGGCTACCTTAGAGCATAAGCCTAGAAGGTGGAGGAGAAGGGGAACAGTGGGGTTCCTTCTCTTCAACCTTGTCCACATAGCAGTTACTCCCCTGAAGTGTATTAGCATTTGATAATTCATTGATTCATAGTCATTGTGTGTTTGTATTTCTGGAATTTTTTATTCAACAGTGGAATACTTGAGAAACCTGATATATAAGCTCCTTGAGCAAGGGCAGTTTACCCCTCTCAGATATTATTTACAGCTGTCTGTATTAGTGTCATGACTTCACTACATGGATTTACATCTGTTTCTTATTTTGTTAATGATCTTTGTTGCTGGCTGATGTCCTGCCAGTGCCCTCAGCCATCAATTCCACAAAATGAGCACATCTTTTGTACAATGGGATACTCATTCTTTTTCTCATTTAAAAGTATCATCTTTCAGGCCAGTCATGTGCCTTTTTATTTTTGCCTTACAAGGAAATGAGAGGCTTAATAAGTCATATCCATCGTTATCTCTGATCTTTTTCTTTTCTTGTCATCCATATGAAGTCTGCTCAACTTCACCAGGGATGAAGGAACCTCAGCAGCTTCCCTCTCTAAAGGATGGTGCATTTTACTCTGTTTTCCACACTGGGCTTTCACATTTACTGGAGTCTTGATTTAAAAGGTACTCAAAATCTCCAAGGAAACTTTAGTGAAACTTGGGAACTCTTTGTTGCTACGAAATTGTTTTTAAAAACAAAAAGCACACCCAGACCTCTGATTTGTAGGGAAGACATGCAATCAGGGCCTTTGCCATGACATGTGATACCAAGAAGCCTCACATTAACCTCATTTTCCCTCGGCTCTGCCAGGAGTGCAGATGTTAGCGAGGAGAGAGCCTTCCTGTTCACAGCCTCCATCAGCATGACCTTTTTTACAGCTTCTCAGTCATCGGGCTTCCTAGCACATGATAAATGTTTTAGGAAACACTGGAGTATTTCCAGCAGCAGAACCTCAGTCTCCTGTTTATTAATCTTTCACATTTGTGTGATTTTGCTGTTTCAGCAGAGATGGTTCTTGAGTCAGCCTGATGCAGGGGAGAGGAGTGGTCTGGCTCTGCCTGTCCTGTCAGCCCCAGATGAACAGACATGGTGGGAACCTTGTTACCTATTCCCTTGGGGATTTCTAGCTCTGCTTTTGGGTTCAGTAATTCTAGGCTGTACTGCTGAGGTGAGAGCCTGAACTGGAGACTGGCCTGGCTCTGCCCTACCCAGAGCACTTGTATGAAGTGTTTGGAATTCTACTTAACATAATTTTTTTATTAAGAAAGTAAGCCCAGAGATGGTTTAGAAGGCAACAGCAAGCTATTAATCCACAAGTTGTACATCAAGCATTTATTCATCTTAAGTCAACAGCTGTTCCCTAGAGCTCTTCAGTGTTTAGGTGTTGATGGCTCATCCTTTAGACATGTAACAGGGTCACAGATACCTCTTGCCAGGGAGGTCTGGCACCTGGAGGATATTTGAAGGTGACTTCATCACTTGCTGTCTGAGAAAGTCCCTCATGAGACCCAACACAAAGAACCTTGTGCCCAAACACCTCGAGCACAACAGATGCCTCAAAGAACATCACTGGATTACAGGGAGGTGACACCATCCCTGGGCTACTGGATGTTAAAAGGCATGGTGTGAAGGCTAGTGTGTTGGCAAAGCCTTTAACCCTGCATTTATTGAGCAGATGGCAAGGAAGACTCAAAGGAAATACAGGAAACAGCTATTTAACATAGATGTGGCAGCTAGACACATCCAGGCTGGGAGACCACCAGATTTTCTGTGCAATACCCTTTGCTCTCCCTCCCTTTACCACTCCTTCCCTCCTTTCTTCCCTCCCTCCCTCCCTCCCTCCCTCCCCATTTTGCTTCTGGCTAAGCTGCCTCGCCTGAAGGCACATTCTGCTCAATGTGTCTGCTGACATGTGTCTTCTTTCCTTGTTTCCTGTTTTAACAGTCTGGGTGATCTCTCAGCTTGCTGGTCCCACATTGGGAAATCCTGGTCCTTGGTGCCCCAGCTCCCAGAGTAAGAGATGTCATATGAGGAGAGCATCCATGCAGAGCCAAGAGGGACAGAGAGCAGGTCTACAGCCACAGCGCCTGGCAGAGCCAACTCCTCCCCTCCACAGGGCTTGTCCTGGGTCATTCCCTGCCTGACAGAGATCTGGGACTCTGGCACCAGCTCTTTAGCTTAGTCAGAACTACACCACTCTCCATACAGAGTCACTGTAAGGTGAGATGTGCCCATCTCATGCCTGAGGCATGCCCCAGATTGCAGAGGCAGGGTTAAAAATACTCATCCGAGGTGTGCCAGGAAAAAGAACAGGGGAACAAAGGAAACTCCCGGACTTATGCCCATTTTGTGAAACTTTCCAGCTGGCTTTCCTTTGGGGCATCTTGCTTGACTATGATTTAGGTTATTGATGATTGTATGTGAGTGGTTTTCTGCACAGCCAAGGATCTCTGGTGCTGGGACTTTGCAGTGGTCACAAGAAGGATGGTGGTGCCTCATTCAGTCACACCAGTGTCACCAAGCAAGCCCCTCTTTCCAGGCACAGCAATACAGTTTAACACCAGAGTGGCCCAGGAGGGCAAGAAGTTGACTGATCCCTTAGAAAGGGAACTGGGTCCACCCGGCTGGGTGGAGGGTGTTGCTGAGGGCACTAGCAAGGCCTGAGGGCTGATTATATTTGGGAATCAAATATAGAGAGGGAAGCATGTGGTAGCTCTGAGGTTGTGCTGAAGAACTGTGAAATGAGAGGAAACAAGCAGCAAGGGAACTGTTCCCTTTGGATGTGACACGCTGGACAGAAAGCTCAAGTGAGAGGCAGAACAGAAGCTCCTTTGTAAGCCAAGAGGCCGCAGTGTGAGAGCAATCCTCTTCCCTACTCACCTTTGCTTTGTTGTCCATGGTAACAGCCAGCTGCATCCTCTTCCCCATCCTGAATGTGAACATATGATCTGCTTCCTCCTCCTCCTCTTCTTCCTCACTGCCAATGCCAAACCCAGGGCTTGTAGGACAGGGGCTTCCCCTTTTCTCACTCACCACCCTTTTGTCCTGGAAAATGAACCACTTCCATTAGCAAATCCAGACCCTTGACTCAGGGCTGTGATTCCCTTCCCCAAACACACCTGCACACAAGCGGGAAGGCAGCTACAGAACAGCCCTTGCCCCCAGGAAGTTCTCTGTGCCCAGCACACTGCTGTGACATTCCTGGGGAACAAGGGGCTTGTTGTCTGCTCAGCAGCAAAACCCACAAAGACAGCAGGGCTGAAAAATCCTTTGCACTTACAAATCTGACATTTCAGACTAAAATGCCAGAGTTATGGGAAAGAAATGCCATCCTCATCTCTTTCTGCAGCACACTGAGTTAGCTTGGGAAAGCCTAAGTCCTGCTGAAGGTGGCCTTGGAAGCCAAGTGGATGGCTGAGGGTGGTGCTCACCATCGAGAGGGCTGGGCTATCTTGTCCATAGTGTTCAGTCTGGGTAATTGCATCTTTCAGGTCCTGTATGAGAGAAAAATGTGTGCAGCAGCGCACCCCGAGAGAGGCGAGGGCCGTGGCCAGGGTGGGAGGGGAGAAATGTACTGGCCTGGATCCAACAACCCAGAGTGCTGAAAGCAGGGTGGGCTGGCTCAGCAGGCTCTGCATAAGCTCAGGCAGAGAAGTTCACCAAGGGGTTAAGGCAGGACTGGCTTCCCAAGCCCCATGCTGCCAGGATGGGTGGACAGAGCTTATCAGATTTGATCCAATTAGGAAGGAAACCTGGGACTCAGTCTCTGGCCCAGGGCCACTTGCTTTGCTGACTCCCAAAGCCTAAGGAGACCATAAGTTTTCCCAGCCTATGGCATTCTCAGAGGCACTCCTGATGCCTCCAGTGACACACACACATACACCTGATATACTCTGCCTGCATATTTGCAGTGATGCTGACACCTGGAACCTGTTGAGGGCCAAGTGTGCCTGTTCACACACCCAGTCATCTGCCAGTTATCTCTTAGTACATGGGTAGAGGTGCCTGGACATGGCTGGAAATGTATGTGCAGCACCTAAAATCACTCTCATCACACATCTCTGCAGAATTCACACACACTTTTCAGGGCTTAGGATGTATTTCCTGTGCTCAAAGAACTTTGTTGTGGATGGTGTCTCTCAGAAATGCCATTTTGCAGGAGCAGGACTGGAGTGAGAGCTGGCCCGTGGTGAAGGAGAGGCACCACTTACGTTGTGAGCTTTGGTGATGGTAATAGTGAGTCCATCCTGCTTGGGCCTCCTGGAGGTAACAGCCATTCCCTCCTGTTCCGCTCGCTTTTTGTCCTCTTCTATTTCCTGAAACACAGATACTCCTTATCACAAGCCTGTACCTGGATGTTGTTAATTTTCCTGTTTAATTCTGCTAAATGGACCCACCTCCACCTCTAAGAGGGAGTGGACCAACTTGTGTCCCAGTTATGGGATGCAGAGAGAGGAAGGTGGCAGTGGGCGAGGAGATGCTGCAGCAGTGAGGCAAGTGTCAGTGTCTGTTCTCTGAAGCACCTCAAGAGTTGTAGTTAAAGGCTAAGGTAAAGCCTAAGCTAAAGGCAGAGCTCTACCCCCCTGCTCTGAGTGTTTCCAATGCAAACAGGCTATCTGTGTAACACAGTCATTCTGACTGTGCTGACAATCTTCTTTACACTGTGAGTTGAGGACCCCAGATCAGAGCTGGGGAAGGTAAGGACTTGCAGACTCACCTGGTACCTTCGTATCAGTGCTTCATTTTTTTTCCGCAAAGCCAAGATTTTCTTATCGAGTTCAACATCCTTCTGCTCTTTCTTCCTTAACACAGCATCATCCACAGCAGCATCCTGGAAACACAAGGAGCAAAGCTCTTCTCAGTCATTTTACCAACAGGATGAAACCTGCTCCTTCTGTCTGGACAAGGTAGGAAGTGAAAGAGTCTTTCCCATCACTTCTCCCTGACTTTTCCTGACAGAATTCACCTTTCCTTTTCTTACAATTTTTGCTCAGCAATGAGGTAGTTTGAGCAAAGTGCTGCTGCCCCACTTTGATGGCTGTCAGTGGGCACCAGAATTAACACCCTGCTTATCTGCATGCAGTACATGACCCTCACCTTCACGTGTTATCAGGAACCAGTGAGGGAAAAGCAGCAGAACCTGCTCATGACAAAGACTGCAGCTTCTGCACCAGCCCATCTCCATTGGCTTCCTCTGTGAGGGGTATCTGATCTAACAGCCCCTGCCAAGGGCTGCTTCACCAGGACACAGGGACACAGGCACACATCTCTGTCCCGGTGGGACAACAAGAACATTTAAACTGCCTCCACACATTCTTCTGCTAGACAATGGGATTTTGTCAAGATCTATGGGAAACAAATGGCTTTTCCATTGCCATTCATCATCGGATATGCGACAGGTGAGCAGATTGCCTTTGTGGGTGGATACAGTTCCATGGGCATTTTGCAAGACTGATTAAAGCCAAATTCGGTGTTTACCTGAACAGAAGCTGTTCTGGGAGCACTAAATTGGCAGGTTCGCTGTTTACTGAGCTCTGGGGTGTTGGCTGCTGAGGGTGGGATCAAAGTGGTGCATGCCCTCAAACACTCCCCTTTCATCTTCAGATTCTTTTGAAGGAGAACTGGCAGAGCTGCCGGCTTGAGAAAAAATTTAAAATTCCTGCAGAGGTTTTATTCATGCTCTTCTATTTTTAAGGAAAAAAAAATGGAAAAGGCCTGTCAGGCTGTCCTCCCTCTGCCCATTTGTCAGCATTTTGTCTACACTGCAAGACGGCTGGTATCGGGGGGGAGGGAGTCCTTCCATTTCCAGCTGGAAACAAGTCACTGGAAGGAAAGTTTGCTGGTGTTCAGCACTTCTCCTTCCCTTTATTAACGAAGCCATTATGGTGTTTCTCTGTGCACAACCTGTTTCAGCAAATGCTGGGAAGCTGTGGGCGGGAGGGGTCGCTCACCCGCACACCCGGGCCCCGCGGCCGAAGCGCTGGGCAGCGTGTGGAGCCCACGCTCAGCTCCCAGGGGCTCACCCATTGTACACTTCAGCCCAGTCAGCGTTTGCTCGTCAGCTGCCGCTCCGAGCCAGCCGATAACAGGGGGCCGGGCCCTGTCCTCCCTTTCTGGAACGAACCCGCTGCCCCAGCCCGTGCTGGAGCTGATGCTCAGGATGGAAAGTGGCTCCACCGTGCCCTCCCCAGAGTAAAGCTCTTCCGGGGAGCCAAGGTGCCCGTATGTCACCGCGACAGAGAGTTATAAATGGCTTTGGCAGAACAAACGTGCGATGGCTTTGAATCAGCAATCAGCTGAACCCAAAGCCTCCCCGAGAGCAGGGCATAGCCACGGAACGAGAGGCCTCATTCTATTGCAAATTAAAATGTCACAAAAGGAGAAAATTGAAAGCTATCGGCTTTAGGCTTCAGTTAAATGACGACATCCCGTTGTGTCACAGCCCCTCTCCTAAGTGGCACACACACTGGCTACGCAGCTCCTTGGGGGCTGGAGGGACACCTCGCCCCAGACTGTCTCTGTGTGCAGTGTTTTCCCATACACTTCTACGATTGCCTGCTTCTACAGCCAGACCTCGGAGACAGCAGGGTTGGGAAAGTGTGAATGGCGGGGGGGGGGGGGGGGGTAGGGGCGAGGGAAAGGGGACAGGAGCGGCCGTACTAATGGTCTTCTGCTTAGGAAAATGTATCCGCTCTTTTTAAGAAATATCCTCTTCCTTGACAGCTGCAGCTGAAGCCCTCACCAGCACAGGCACCATCCAGCGCTTGCCTGCGTTTCTGTTTGCTATCTGCCTCCCGGGAGACACCTTATTCTGAGCCAGCCACCACAACCTGCCCCGGCCAGGGATGTAAACCCCGGCACCCGAAATGCGCTCCCCCCAGCACCCCTCCCGCGGTGCGGTACGGCTTGTTTGCTCCCCGTGCCTGCTGGCAGACAGGCGAGGCGAGAAAACAAAGCGACAGCCGCCGAAAGGCCACCCTGAAGGAAGCGAGTGCAAGTCCTTGCGTGGCCTTTTGGGGTGAGGGACCCCAGCGCCCCCGCCCCTCCCAGGCCCCGCGCAGGCAGCACTCACAGCTCGGTGCATGTTGGACATCGGCGGCGGAGCCCGGCGGATTCCAGAGCAGAGCTAAAAGAGGAGAGCCATCAGACGGCCTTTCTCAGCACTGGTTGCACAGCATACAAGATCATGTTTTGATTACAAAAGCCTCGTCTGGGCTCCCAGCCAAGAGCACTGGCTGCCTAATATACCAAGCACAGACAGGGTTTGGAGTGCCTGTGTCCTCCTCTCCAATCTCACTCTCTTTTTAAAAGAAACACTCCCCCTTTTCCCCCCTCCTGACTCCTTTTAACTTCCTGATGCCACAAACCCTCGTTCAAAGTGGGAAAAGCCGGCTGAACAATGACGGATGGATCAGGCAAACAGCTTGGCTTCGCTGCGTGGCCATTCACGGGGTCGTGTTGTTTGTTATGCATGGCTGGCTCCACGCCTGGCGGGGCCGGGAAATATCTGGGGTCCTGCATGTCTTGTGAGTGTGAGTGTGTGCACGAGCCTGCCTGGGAAAACATGGGGCAGATTTGCCTTTTTCTGTTTAATTTCAGTATTCTCTGGGAATGATTTCCCCACTGTTAAAGTGGGCCTTTCTTTCAGGAAGGAACAGAAGAGTGCTGTGGGGTGGGCATCACCAGCTGGCAGCAGGACTAGCAGGAAGCACACAGCCAAAGCAGAGGGACTCCTGTAAGTCCCTGTCTGAAAGCTGCCAAAACAAGCCTCAGGAGAGTCACAAGTAGCAACGGGGCTTTGAGGGAACAGCATTCAGCTGCTGCATCTTGAGTCACCACATGAACCCTTACCTCACCATAGGATATCCTGAGTTGGAAGGAACCCACAGGATCATCCAGCCCAACTCCTGCCTCTGCCCAGACACTACAACAATCCCACCCTGTGTTTGAGAGCATTGTTCAAACCCTTCTGGAGTTCTGGCAGCTTTGGGGCTGTGCCCACTCCCTGGGGAGCTTGCTCAGTGCCTGACCACCCTCCGGGGGAAAGAAACTTTTCCTGGTATCTAGCCTAACCCTCCCATGACACAGCTCCAGCTGTTCCCTTGGCTCCTGCTCCTGGTCACAGAGATCAGAGATTGGAGCTGCCCCCCACTGCCCCTTGTGAGGAAGCTGCAGACCCCAATGAGTCTCCTCCAGGCTGAACAAACCTCAGCCATGTGTCCTGGCCATGTGCTACATTCTCCCTCAGCACAGATTGGCTGCCCTCTCCCTCCATCCTGAGGGATACAGATCGAGTGTGAGGCAAACAGGAGATGGAAGTACACCAGGGAATGTTTTGTTGCCCAAGGACTGATGCACAGCCCCCCATTAATGTGGGCCCTTCTATGTTCATATGTTAAAAAAACCAAGCTGGTCCACTGCTGCCCACTGTCCACTCTAAACGTTTAAGCAGTTCAACTCCTCACAAAATCCGAGAAAACCGACCTGAAACCTGGAGTAGTTGAAGGGAAATCTGCCAAAGACTTTGCAGAACTCAGAATTTGGTCCCTTCTTTGCACACGACTTGGACATCACAGCTAAGGCACTGAGGAGCTGGAAGCACAGCTTAGTAAAAGCTCTTGGAGGGACAAACTGACCTATATTAATTAGTAGGTACTCAATGATGAAAGGAAATTGAAACCATTTCCAAGGCAGTGTTTCTGGATTCAGGCTTGATGAAGGAAATGAAGACTCAGCCTTGGGCAGAAAATCGGGAAAAAGAGCTTTGCTGGAGCCCAAGTGCTCGTCAAGACGTTTGTAGTGGACACAGCTGTGCAGGAGATGCAGAGTCATGTGGAGCTTTACCTTGACCTGGGAACGGAGGGGAGCTGTGGGACGGCACTGCCTTGGTTTTCCAAGCTGGCACACTCTCTTTTGAGGGCAGAGTGATAGCCCATTTTTAGCTGGGCTGGAGGCCACAGGGACAAGGTCACCCAGGACTGGGTTGAGTCAGGGAGTCAGTGTTCATGGAAACACTGAAGCCCTCATCAGCATAGGCACCATCCAGCACTGCCTGCGTTTCTGTTTGTTATCTGCCTCCTGGGAGGCACCTTGTCCTGACCAGCCATCACAACTTGCCCTGGCCAGGGATGTGAACCCCAGCACCAAAAATGTGTCCCCCCAGCACCCCTCCTGCAGTGCAATATGGTTTATTTGCTCCCTGTGCCTGCTGGCAGCCAGGAAAGGGAAGAAAACAAAGTGACAGCCACTGAAAGGCCACCCTGAAGGAAGTGCGAGTCCTTGTGTGGCCTTTTGGGGTGAGGGACCCCAGTGCATTATCCTGTGCATTATCCTCTTTGTGAGGTGGTCATGTCTCTTGCCTCAAGGACACTGCAGGTTATGTTGATGCTGAGGTTCAGGTTAAAACAGAAACCATTACCCCAATCTTCAAGGCCAGGTTCTGTGTGCAGTGCTGAGTGAACACCACATGCAGCTGGGTCTGTTGTGCTGCCCATGTCATGCTCAAATTATCAAGGCTTAAGCCAACGGCTCACAAGGAGTTTCTCCAGACTTCCCCAGACCTCACAGCCATGGCATCCTATGTTCCTGCCATTCCTGGCCGTGTGACAAAGCTCTTCCAGCAATGAGCAGTGCCATGAACCAGGGGTGAAGATCCCTAAAATACCTTTGCCTTTGCTGATGTCGCTGGAGAGCTGCATTTCCCTCCAGGGCAGTCTCAGCTGCTCCTGACCTCAATACAAAGAGCTGGCATGTCTCAGCTGTCCTTTACCATGTCTGAGTGGTATAAATGACAGGCACCTACTTCTGCATCATCATCCAAGATCAATGGGAATCCTCAGTAAACACTGCAGACACAGAAACCCACGGGCAAAAGGGCCCAGTCAAGGAAGCAGCTTCTACAGCTGCAGCAGTGAGGCAAAACAGGCTGGTTTGGGGACCTGCCGGTGCCCTTGGGACAGTCAGAGGAGAAAACAGAATCCTATGAATGTGCCAAGATTTATGGGATTATGAATATGCATGTACATTTAATTATTCCCAGCACTGTGGTCAGAAAGGGCTGCAGTAACACCACAGCTGTCCCCAGTAAAAAGCTGTCAAAACCCCTGATTTTCTCTAAAGTGCAGTGTCAATCCCAAAACTGGCACTGCCTTCCAATGAGGTCTGTGCCTACATCAAGCTATGGCCAATCCTTCTAGACCATCATCCAGGCACCAGGGATTCCAATACCCAGAGGTTTGCTTTTGGGAAGGAGAGGAACCAGAGAAGTTTCCTATTCTCCTGCTCTAGTGAGTGGGGTGTGCTGGATGCATGACATTTTGGGAGCCCTGCAGGACTTCAGGACACACTGAATCCTGTTCACACCAACACTCCCACCTGGGTGGCTGCAGGACACCAATCCGGCTCTCTCCAGCCGTTGGTGGCAGTGCTTCCCCCATGCAGCAGCTTGACAGAGTCCTTCAGACAGCAAGTGTATCCTGCATCCATGTGCAACAGGAAGGACATCTGGAGAAACCAGCCTCATTGCTCACTCAGCAATTTGTACACCACACCTAGAGTTAATCTCTTTATTCTTTCAAATCCCAGAAGACCTGCTGGGATGGTCTAATTCTGGGCTCTCTTGTGCTCTGGCTGGTGCCATCTCTGAAACTGCTCAGCACAGTGGGCACATGAAGTGTACCCAGGTTGGCTCTGTGGTTTCTGCTTCATGGATCTGTCAGCTCTTGCTAATCTTAGGCTGCCCCTGAAGAAGTCGCTGGGGTGGACAGCAGCTTCCTTCAGGAAAGCCTGGAAGCTGGAGGAATCAAAAGGATATAAAGGGGTCTTTTCTGCATTGCCCTGCTGTGGCTGCTTTGCACAGGGGCTCAGCTGACTGTCCTTAAGCACAGCCTCCAGCTGCCTCCTTGGAGCCCTCACTCTCCACTTGGGCCCAAGTTTGCTGGAGATTTTTCTGGGGCCAAGGAAGGAAAGCAGGGCAATGACCTCTCCATTTTGTGCTTGTGACAGTGAAATAGTCCCTTTCTCTTATTGTGTGCTGCAAGGCCTTTCAGTTTTGGCACAAAGAACCATCCCTGGCAGGAGTCTGCCATCTCCCTGCTCCAGGACAGCACTCAGCATCTGGCACAAAGTTTTGCCCCACATTTTATCGGTAAGACTCTGTCTCTCTGCCTTACACAAAGACTGAAGGAAAGAATCTGATTCTCCAAAAAATGCAAACTTGCCTGCCCTGAGAAGTATTCCTGGCATCCCTTCATCAGCCCTTCCACCAGCAGGAACTCCTTTAGCTTGAAATCCTCTCTCCTTTTCCTTTTGCTCTCTGTGAAACTCCTCCAGAGCCACTCAGTCCCATGCTGCCACTTTTCCCAAGTGCACTTCACCCAGCCTTATCCTGGCTCCTCTCCATTTTTTGCATGACCGCTATCGAGTCAACAGATGGCACTCGGGAACTGCTGGGAGGATCTGGGAGGCAGCTGCCAAAAGCCCACTGAAGGAGCTGAAGTCTGGATGCTGTGCGAGGCTGTTTCTGTATTATGTGTCAGGACTGCAGATAAGGCACAGGGCCGAGTCTCAAGGCACGGCTGTGTGCAGCGATGTGCTGCCCGAGGCTCCTGAGCTGAACTAGCAGTCCTTCTCCAGGCCTTGGACAGAGGCAGGGATGGGAACACAGTGTATCAAAGAAGAGTTCCGGGAGGCCTGGAGGCATACTTCCTACCAAACACACAATAAGGCAATTCCTCTTGCCTCCCTTGCCTCCCCCAGCTCTGGTCCTTCAAGCAGCTGCACTGCAGGATTAAAAAGGGGTTGAGGTGTTTCCTCCAGCCAGGAGAAAGGTCAGCATATTTCCTAGACTGGGAAGAAGGCAGGAACCTTAAATGGGCTTTAGCTGGAGAGACTCACGGGGATCAAAGAGCTGCTGAGACATTTGTTTTGAAATGAATCAAAATTAAAACTACCAAAGACAGTTAAAGGATGTAATGGCAGCTTGGTCCTGCTTAAAAGCAGTAAGGATCACAGCTGCCTGTTGGTACTTCCACAGGCATACCAATCACGGCACAGCACAGAAACATCTCAGGATGTGCAGAGCAGCCCTCTTCCCATTTGGAACAAGACATCCCCTCTTTTCCCCTTCCCTGTGCATCATTGCAGCCTGCAGGGTCCTGCCTCAAGTCCTGTGGGTGAGTTCTGTGCATACCTGTGTTTAATGCCACCGTGAAAAACGCATGATCTTGTCAGCTCTCCCAATATTTTCTGTTCCTGAAAACTTGTCATTCCAGTATAAGACCTCTGAAGTGGTCATAGGCTGAGCAAATGAAAAATTAATCTGTCCACTTAGTTTTTCTCACTGGCAGACACACTTAGCAGGGACAAATACAGGTTTGCTGACCTTGTTCACTACCCAGCCTTCAGATGTAGGACACAGGACCCAGCCTTGGGAGGGTGTGAGGATGTGGAAAGTGACCGGGACAGCCAGTCAGGCAGGTTTTTTCATCTTTTATGGAAATGTAGTCCTTGGGGACAGCATGGAATGCTGCAGACAGCAACTTGTTTGCCCTGTCATCAGCAGGGGCCCAGGGAGGTTCCCCATTCCAGCCCATGGCTTCAGCCCAGATCCAGGAGGACACGGACAGCCCAGTGGCCTAGGCTCACAAGCTGCAAATGAGCAGCCAGGAGCCAGCTTGCTCTTGACGTGGTCACATGCCCTTTGTGAACTCCAAATCTCACAATTATTCTATCTATGGCTGCTTTGGGGCTATATGAATTATAGTGACCCACTTTGAGTCTGATGCATGAAGAAAAAAGTGGCAAATTCGGGGCCTCTCATCCCAGCCAAACTCCATTAAAGCCTAACAAACCATCTCATTTCCCTTTGCCAGCAGAACTCAAAAGCAAGCTCCAGAGACCAACCTTGGCTCCAGGGTTTGAGCTGGACTGAAGAATCTCCCTGGGCTCCAGCGGCGCCACTTCACACGGATGCTGCATGGATTCTGACTGGTCTCAGCAGGAAGACTGGCTTTGCTTGTGCAGAGGGTCAAGGTGTGCAGCTGATTGGGAGCACAAACACAGGAAGGACCAGCCTGCACGAGGCTCAGAGGTGCCTGGGAAGGGAGGAGATGAAAAGGGGAGTCGAGGTGGCAATTAAATATTAAAGGACTAGTTCAACAATAATTAGTACCTGTGTGAAGGGAAGGGGTGGAGGTGCCTGGAAAATAGAAGAGATCTTTCCAATAATGTTAGAGTGAATATAAAAGCAAACCTTTACTTGAAAGCTTGCAAGTACACTATATGGCAAAAATCACACATGGTATAGTAATTGTACAATTTTTATAAGGTTAGTCAATTAGTATACTTATCATATACTGTCCATTTAAAAGGTTAGTTGATTAGGTAATAATTCCTGGGGTGTCCACTGGAAGCAGTCCAGAGCTTTCTTTTGCCCCACTTTTGTCTGGTCCAGATTCTGGTTGGAAAACAGAACGTCCTTGTAGTTTGTTCTCTTCTTGAAATAAGACTACACAATATTTAGGTTTATAAAGTTAGCCTATTGTTCCTAAATGTAGGGAAGAAAGTGAGGA